TACAAAGGAAAACAAGTCTATTTCAAAAGTACAAATTTTTATAAGTCATTTATTAACAAGCTTTCTGAAGAGAGGAAAAATTTGGTCCCAAGCAACATGTTAGAGCGGAATAATCAAAACGCATTAAATTTAAAAAGAAAAATTATCAGACTTTTTATTTAAGGCAGCATATACAATGAAACCATTTTTGCTTGCAAATAGATTTCCCTGCTGCCACAACTGATGGACAAAACCCCCCCACATATTTTAAATGACACAAAATCAACATTAGTGAAACTACAGTATGTGCAGTTCTGAACACCTGAACCGTTTGATTCCCAGATTCAATAATCTAAAGTTTCGAGACTTTAAATGAGTGTCACAGTTTCAGCAAAAAAAATTTCAGCACAGTGTAGTCCGATAGCTTTATGTCCCCTGAGAAGAAAAAGATTATTATTGAGCTGTGAGATGAGGTTTGTTGTGTTGTGAGTCCAAAAATGATCCTGCGAATTGAGGTTGATTGATTCCATAAGCATGTGAGGATGTTCGGGGACATGTGTGTTAAGACTATAAATGATCGTTTTAGGTAAAGGAATACTTCATTGAACACTGACCAATACAAACTGAATGCTAAAGCTTAAAGAGTTCAAGTAAAAAACTAAAATAAAATGTACAACCTACAATAGGACAGTAGTGTTGTCACGTTTGTTAAATGCACCTTTAGAGTGTAATTAAAGTCCTTCACGGATTTTCGATGGTCCTTCCTTCAACCAACACATTTAATTTTGCAATTTGTCTGTTTCATGATTGCTGATGAGAAGATCAGTGGCGAGTTTCACCATTGAACTACACTCACTTGTGCTCAAATGCCGAGGCGTCAGGTGGACAGGTGTGTGATTGAGCTTCTACGACTCCAAGAGGTAACAGGTTCTGTGAGCTTGATTGTGCAACAGTATTTTCCACTGAGGAACTAACTGGTGGTTTGGCTCCAGAGCAACAAGTGTGTGTGCAGAAGTCTGAAGCCTGGGGCTGGTGTGCCTCAGGACTCTGAGAAAGGTCTGGGGAGGGGCACAGGAAGGCGGACAGCGGGCAGTCTGGAGAGGAATATTTGGCCAGCACCTGAAGCTGCTCGGGTCTGAGAGCGGCTTCGGAACAGACCGTCTCATACAGGCCTGAGTAACTCTGCCAAGCCTTCATCTTCATCTGATTAAGCTTTATCCTTTCAACGGTCAGCTTCTCTCGCTCACTCCTCTGCAGAGCACAAAGAAACAAGCTGTATACACTTTTTAAAAATATTTAGGCCTAAATTTAAAATTTGTTATTTATATAATTGAATTCTTTGGCATTTCAATTGCATAAAATTTTACTGCATTACACAGTTTTAACATAAACTATTAAACTTAAATTGCTGCATATGTGTCAATCATACATAAATGAAACGGGTAAGATTTCTGCACTCAAAAAACCATGGCATAGTTAATTATCTGCTTGCATCTATTTGATTTTATTTAAATAATCATATTTTTCAAAATACCATTTTTTAAATGCATTTATTCGAATGCCTTTGAATCAGCATAAATCTGTTCACTGTGAAAACCATTAGTTTGGTAGGTATGGTTCTCCAGGTATGAACATGGAAATATGGCTAGCTGTAGAACAAGCAATTCAGTAAAAATGTATGAGACTGGATTTATTGATGAATAAACCTGATTATTGTGTATTTAAAACACATTAAATGTATTAATACTATTACAGAAATCTTAGCCATTTCATTTATGTATGACTGACAAATATGCATCACATGAAGTTTATTAGTCTGTTTATTTTAAAACTGTGTAATCCAAATGGATGTAAATTTTACATGCAATTCAAAAGGTATGGATGAATCTCACAAAAAACCTGTCCAGGTCATATTTCACCCAAAAATAACAAATCAGATTTTTCAAAAAATAAATAAATAAATAATCTTGTTCATCAGAAAATGAAAAATGTTTTAGGACATTGCCATACAATTCTTTACCATAATAAAAATGTGAATAAATAAAATAATATGCAAAATATTTATATTTATAATATTTAAATGATTGCTTTGGTATTTTCCTTTCAAAAATAATTTTAAAAAATCATTTAATATACCTAATCAAAACTTTCATTGGCATTACAAAATAAATCAAAATAACTTATCTTATAAAATCCTATTTAAAAAAGAATTATCCCTAAATAGTTGTACATTTCCTGTGCATTTTATAGTGCATTTTCTTGAAGAAAAATCAAATGTGATCAAGTCACCTTTTTGTGAATTTCACTGAAATAGCAGCTGTAGATCAAAACTTTAATCCTGAATGAGGTGATTGAAGTGCTTGAAGAGTGTACAGCTATAAACTTTGAGCCTTTAGGGATCACTCAGACTATAAGGATCTTTCGAATACTCACCAGTTTCTCGATTTCACACTCCAGATTGTGTATGCAGTCAAGTTTCCGCTTGCGGCAGCGACGGGCTGCAATCCGGTTTTTGCTCCTTCTGCGGATGTCATGCACAACGTCAAGCTGCTCCCGTGTGAAGCACTGCTGCTTCAGCATCTGCTGGAAGTCATTCCTGCTTAGAGACACGATCTGATCCACAGAGAGCGGCAGCGCCATCTGGAGGAAAAGAATCAACATGTCTATCATCACCTAAACCAGGGGTTTTCAAACCTGTCCCCCAGCACTGCACATTTTGTGTCTCCCTCATCTAACACACCTGATTCCACTCATTAGCTCATTAGTAGAGACTGCAAGACCTGAATTAGGTGTGTCTGATAAAGGAGACATACAAAATGTGCAGTGCTGGGGGTCTTCCAGATGTTTATATTTGAACCACTATAATGTCAGCTTAGCTCAACATTCAGTGAGTATAAGATTTATGGGTTAATGCTTTTATTAAGGTCCTCATTAAGGACTCGTGTGGACTTTTGATCTCACTGTGAGCCTGACAAGTCATTATCAGATGTGCAAAGTTGGTACGATTCCAGCCTGCTCAAAAGGCACTGAACAGTGCAAAGTCCAACAAACATTAACAAATCTAATAATGCTTAGCAGAGGTGCCAGGTTTTTGCTTACTGATCAACTTTCAACTGCACGAAATTCTTGTGACTAGACAAGATGTGGGTCTTGAGATGCACCAATTGTTAGAATGACCATTTCTTTATTAATGTTATTAATAACATCTGCTGAGTCTCTAAAGAAATTCACACAACAATGCAATTAACAGGTAAAGTAACTAATTGAATGTATCGCTGGATAATTACTAAACTTTTCTGAAATAACAGCAACTTTTATGGAAGAACAACTTCTTAGATTAGAAATGTGTTGCTTGACAATTAGAAAACAAAAAATGAAAATACATTTGCAACCATTTAAGATTCCAAGACAACTTTGGATATTAATAGCATATTATTTTTATAATAATATAATTATATCTATTAATATAATTAAATATAATATGAAATAATATAATACTATATAATATAATATAATTAATCATCTGTAAATTTAAAATATATTTGCCACCATTTAGATTGCAAAACAACTTTAGATATTATTATTATTACTTTAATATATTGAATTATAATATTATACTGTAGTACTAAAATGTTATATTATTATTATTATTATTCAAATGCTATTAATAACAACAGCAAAATAATAATAACAACATTTGTTTAAATTATTCATAATCTGTAAATTGAAAAAAAGTAAAACATTTGCGACCAAAACAAAAAATGTTGCAAAACAACATTACATAATAAAAAACATTATCATTATTATTACTGTTGTTGTTATTATATTCATAACATTATTATATTTGTATAAAATATTTATTATCTTTATCGTATCAGTCATAATAAAAAGGTATTTGCATCAATCTCTACTCAGGTTCAGTCTATAAAGTAAGTCTGTGATTGATTGCTTGGTCTGTTTGTTTGTTTGTTTGTTAATTGCCTATTATATTGTCCATCAGGACAAGCGAAAGTGTAATCGCTTAAGAATGCACATCTTTCCACAACAAACTGCACAATTTCATGCATCATTCAAGCACAAAAACTTAAGGATAAGGGTTTGTTCACACCAATGAAGCACCACTAATAAATACAAGCAGCCCTCACCTCATACACTCGTTCACTGCTGTAAGACTCACTGTCCCCCTCTGTGTCAAAACTATCAGAGTCCTCCCCTGATTGGTTGAAGGGTATGTATGGACTGCCCTGTGATGCTGGTCCCCCCTCTCCATTGTGTAGATGAGCGCCCACTGCGCCAAAGTTCTGCAGAAACGGACACTCCACTGCTCTGGGATCCGGGTAGCAGCTTTTCAGACAGTTGAGATTCGAGGGTTTCGCCACCAAGCCCAGGCCAGAGGGAGACGCCTGACAAGAATCCGGCCAGAACGTGAGCTGTTTGGCCACCTCTATTTCCTCCATGCTCCTCTGTTCATTGCATTGGTCATCTTTGAGCTCCATGTATGGCCTCACAACTTGACTTGAGCGAGGGGACATTCCCCATTTTGCAGAGTCTCCTGAGTCACAAATGGATTGTGCCAAGTCATTACAGGTTGGAAATGATGGCTGGCCTGTGCAAGGACCAGGATTCGGGGAACAACATTCAGGCAGAAGAGAATCTTCATCGCCAGTGAGAGGTGTCTTATCGCATGAAAAGACCTCCTTGCCGTCTTCATTGTTTGAGTGAGGTAGGCAGCTTAAAGGACAGTTGCCTTCTGTCCTGTCAAGGGACATGGGTTTTGAGCTGCAAACATCCAGACAGGATCGCTCCTTCCCACAAGCTATTTGAAACTTCCGGTACTTTGGGCACAGGAGGGAGTAATCTGTGTCTTTTTGGCTGTGACAGCTTTTTCCCACGTCCTCAATGGCCACCGAAGGAGGACAAGATGTCTCTTTGACTTTAAGCTGAAGCTGTGAAGGCTGAAGTAATGATTTGTCTTCATCAATAACATCATCCTTGTCATTCGAGCTCAATTCAGCCCCTCGTGATTTGCAGCATTTGGTTTTGCAGCACTTCCTCTGGACTTTTGATCCACTTCTGCTGCTGTCAAAGAACTTGGGGAGAAGGAAGTCAAAGCAGGCTTTGTCCAAGTTCTTGAAACCAAGAACAGAGGCACAGTTACGGATTTCCAGCACGTTCTCTTTGGTAAAGAGGAGTTTTGAGGTGTAGGCAAAGTCCAGCAAGGGTTCGAATCCATCTGAGGTAACCTTCAAAATTAAAAAACAATATATTTTAAATCAAGTGCATAAAAATGCATCATATCTCACATAGACGTTGTTATGTAATATATGATATTTCGGCTGTAACTGGGCCAAAGATATCCCATGAACTTCCTCTTTCATTTCAGACCTTTAATTATGTTGTTACCTCATCAGGAAGGTTGATGATAATTCCTTCAGCTGTATGACTGGACACATGAGCGCTGAAATAATCACTGCAGGATGCCAGAACTGCCCGGTGGGCCCGATAACTCTGGGTCTCTGCCACAACAGTCACATCACACAGAAGATCTTTCTTCCTCTGCTCATTCAGACATTGCAGAACATGGGAACTGTGCACAGATGACTGGAAGGTGAACTTAAACGAATTTGAGTTTTCCACCGACATGCTGAGTTAATCTGTATGGTAAAAACATAAAGAATAGGTTTGCATGCTCAATTCAAGGAAACTGTCATGTAGTAATCACGACAGATTATTTGGTTATAAAACTCATTCATTAGACATATAAAGCAGGCATCACGGTTCCTACACAGTTTGACCAATTAAATTTCCGTGACTTTTCCTTTTTGTATCTAGAAAAAGGAAAAGTCACGGAAATTTAATTGGTTTATATATTTAGGAACCGTGATGCCTGCTTTATATGTCTAATGAATGAGTTTTATAACCAAATAATCTGTCGTGATTACTACATGACAGTTTCCTTGAATTGAGCATGCAAACCTATTCTTTATGTTTTTACCATACAGATTAACTCAGCATGTCGGTGGCACACAAACAAATATATATATTATGGATGTTGTATGCAGCAATTATAAAGTGCAATTTCTAACCAATCAAATATTTTAAAGCTCAGCATAACTTGTAAAATACATATTCAATATAGAGATTTCCATATGGTGAACAGTTTTAAAATCCCCTATGATTTTTACACAATTTTACAAATTACAACAGTGATTCTACTTTTTCAGCAGCATTGGTTCCAGAAGCATTTTTCCCATAAATTTTTGTTAAAGAGTTAGGCAATAGCCCATGAACCAAACGAACTAGCTAAGAAGTGAATTAAAAAATGTGTTTATTGTTTATTATGTATAAATAAAAAAGCAAGCATTATATAAGCCAGGACCTGCCTGTAGAATTATATTTTTTTCACTAGTTAGCAGGGGATAGGAAATGGAAAACCAGGAATGGAATAAGAACGGAGTGACACTGTGTGTGTGGAAGATAAATTTATACCACTCCACTCACACGACTCCGTTCAAGTTTTGTGTTTAGCTTGGCGCCACGCAAAGTGTGCTGTTTTGGCTTGTTTTTTTTCTTCATTTTTCGTTCGCTTCGATGGAGAAATGTTCAACAGCGCTCTTGCTCGCGTGATACTTAAGCACGTACGTGTCCTTACCCACGGGAGCTCCTTATCTCCACCGTGTACTGAGAATTTGACCTAGCTAGTCAAGTCATGAGTGTGTATGCGCGCTAGCGCGTGTGTGGCGCAAGAGTGTGCGCGCTCACTGCTGACTCATTGGGGTTTGCTGATAAAGGATGAGCAAGCTTTTTCCCCGTCTGTCCCTTTCTAAACTCCTCCACTTTACGAGGAACTTAAGGACCAGTTGTCTCATACAGTTAAGATGGAGAATTTTATGTTGTTAAAGGAAACATTTGAGCTTATTCCCCTAACAACAGACGCGCCTTGGATGTAATAAAAACCGAACATTACGCTTTTTCACAAAACCTAGCGAGCCGCCTACCTAGAAAGCATCTAAGGCACCCCAGGTGCGCTTTAAATGTTAGAACGGAACCTTCGCAATGCGGATACGACGCTCAAAATGCTGTCTAGGTAGTTAGCTCATTATGTTTTCAGACACAGCCTAACGTTACGTCCGACAGGGGAAAAAAAATGACATCTGTACAGAATACAGTCGTGATCATTGAAAAACTCACAGTCGTATGTCGTGAAACAGAACAATATCCAAACTAAACCATTTAATACGTTTTTACATTTAAATTAGACATTTTAAACTTTAACTATAAAGTTCACCCATCTCCATTTTCAATGTCTTTCTCTTTCGACACAGAACTAACAAAACCAGAAGAGATCGTATATACTCACCTGTCATATCACCGCAGAGTAAGAGGAAAAGTTGGATTTGATAGGCTACTACATACTAACTCGGCTTGCATAAAGCGCTCACTTGTAACTATGAAAATGAGGCGCTTGTATTTCACTCTGGTGTCATGTGACTTCTGCCAAAAAAAATTGTTTTTGTCCCGCCTTGTCAAACAAAGCCCTCCTTTCATTGGTCCTCTTTCCTGTCAATCATTAACGTCACTACCTTACTCTTCGCCTCCAGACCGCCTTTGTTTTCACCCACAGTCCATACATGATTTAACCTCCTCAGTCCCGAGTTGGGAAACTTTACAAACAATAGCGAAATAATTATGGAATATTTACTATATTGAATATTTGGACTTGAGAGCATGGAATCTAATACTATTCTGATCTATTTATTCTCACCAATGTAGCCAGACACAAGAACACGTTATGTCTACTATAATCATTAATTGAATACTATAATAGTTATTTTTATATCGAGTCTTTACATAAGTTGTGAGTCATACTAACAGAAAAAAATTATATGTAACTTTTCTGGTACAATTTACATATTATGGGTAGTAATTAAATGAACATGATGTGTGTAAACACTGTAAATGCTACTCACTTGAGTCTAAATGTCGAAACTAATCATATGCCATTTCATTTTTAACATTCACAATCATAATTCTGATAAAGAAAAGGAAACTTTCGCTAACTAAACAAAGCTCTAGACTAAATAAACTCTAAATCTGGAGGAAGCAAACATTTCATGCTGCTAAACTGGTTTGTGGACATACACCTCTGGTATTTCAGCTGTGTGGGATAGGGGTGTCGGCCATTGATATTTTTGAAGGGTTTCACAATCCTAAAATGAGCAGATCACATTTCGAAACCCAAGTTCCCTATTGCTGAGTGACTAAACAATGGTGTGTAGTCATACGTTTATCGTCACCTAGCTTGAACTCAAATAGCTGAACAGAAATGTAATTCCTTAATTCCTTTTTTTTTTATGCAACTGGCAGACAGTAAACAGTAAAAACCTTTACTGAGAGTAACAGTTACACTTTCACAGCAGAGCCTTTCAACTGTACAGTATAGGTGAGTGTACAGTAGTACACTGTACAGTATAACATGCCCTTAAAACACACAAAGAAGAGAAAATTGTATATATTCAGAATGCGATGTCAGACATATATGAGTGAGGCAACTTCTCAGCTCAAGTTTGGGCCACAAGAGCATCTGCTCTGAAATAAGCCCATATCAGCTTAAAATATATTAAATATACATTGATTAGGTGTCTCAGTCTAAGCACACTGATTCAAGATCAGTTTTCTGCTTCAGTACATTACACAAGCACTGAAGGAACGCTGAGTAGTAAAGACCCAGAGGTAAAAGATCTTTCGCATTGGAGTCAAAGGTCACGAGGAGCCCTGCCTCTTTTGACTGATCACTCGGAGCGTCTCTAGCTGCTGTGCGCATTGGCTATGGACCGTTATCAGATTTCGGTTCTCTTCTGTAAGTATCCTGTATTCTTCCTCAAGTTGCGCAAACTCCATCGACACCTTTTCGTCCTCTAGCAGCTCTGCCATGAGCTCCCTCCTGAGTGTGACAAACACAAACGGGGAAATAACATGTTATAATCATTCATTACAGCACTTCTTTTACTGACTGTATTTAATGTAATGATGATATGTAAGGTGTGTGCTAAAGTAACATATTATGTGGGTTGGGTGTCAGACAGGTGACTACAGTTGGCGGTTCTGTGCCCAAAACTATTTTATAGGAAATGAAACTGTCAACACCATAGTTGTGGGTACCTGGGTTGATACAATGATTTCAATTGGGGGAAACAACTTATTATAGACAGTAGACGTCTAGATACAGAGACAAGTCTGTGGTTTGTAATGTTTTACTAGCTCAGAAAGGCACTGAGCCAGTGGGTGATCTCTTCTACATGTGGTCTTTGGACCACAGTTAACCGTTTGAGCAAGGTTATAGGGTGGTGACAGGCACGTTTCTGTGTCTATTGTTTAATATGAAGGTTTAACGTGGAAAATAAAGGGTTAAAAGTGTCTCACTGCACAAGGATGAATCAGAGACACTATACACAGCATATCACTAGGCAACGTCAGAATTGAGTCTCTATGAGTAATAAATCTGCAGTAAACATACAGAATTGATTTACAGTATGTTCCTGAACAGCTGAGTTTGGTGCTTTATCTGAACTCAGTGTATCTGAAAAAGTTCATGTGTTTTCCTCTTTAGGGGAAAAAAATGAGAAAGAGAACAAACACTGGAAATTTACAGTGGCATTTAGATGACAAGAACGTTCTTGTGTTTCCCTTATAAATAAACCATATAACATATTACATAACAATATAAATATCATAGTATATATGGTTTACAAATATATGATATATGATGTACAATGTTCTATACATTTTATATATAACAGTGTTGACTGTACTTTACATTACATATACAGTATGTATATAGGCCATTAGTATTTTCACCAACAAAAAAGGGTTTTTTAAGTCAGTTAATTCTATTTTGCTGTAGTGTGTCAGTAGGAAATATCAGTTTACATTTTCAAACATTCATTTTGCCATTAATTGTAATAATCCAGTGAGATTTGTGTATGCACATTGAATCTGACAACAGCCAGTGCTCCACACAGAGATCTGATCTCACCATCATCCAGTCTGTCTGGAATGACATGAAGAAACAGAACAAACTGAGACAGACTAAATCCAGAATGTGGCAACGTCTCCAAGTTGCCTGAAGAAACCTTTCTACAAAGCTACTTGAAAAACTATGTGCAAGTGTACCAAGGACAAAAGCTGTTTCAAATGTAAAGAGTGGTCACACCAAATATTGATTTGATTCAGTTAATAGACGTTAATTGATAAATAAAATCTATTTATGACATTATTTTTGAAAGCATCCTCACTTTACAGCATCCTCACAGACATTGCCAGTTTTTTTCTGTTTCTTCATATTACTCCAGACAGACTGAATGATGGGGCACTGGCTGTTGTCAGACTCCTTGTGCATACAAAAATCTCACTGGATTGTTGCAATTAATGGCAAAATGAATGTTTGGAAATGTAAACTGATATTTATGAAGGGCCATAAGCCACAATTCATTCTGGCGCTCTCACACACTTATATTCTCTTTTTCTCATATATTTCTGCTCTCACACACTTACATTCTTCTTTCACAAACATACATTTTTGCTCTCATAGTCACATATTTTAATGAACACATTCATACATTTTCCTCTTATATTCATATATTTTATGCTCACAATCATACATTTTCACTTTTGTTTTGTGCAGTTGCTTCATGTTGCCGATATTTGTTTGTTTGTTTAAGGTCAGTTTGGCCAGTAACAGAGCAAATAAACAATTCATAAATTAAAATAATAATTTAAAAATAAATAAATCGGCAACCATATGGGAATCAGACAATTTGATTGTGAAAAAATCGGCAATTGGAATCGGTCATGAAAAATCCTGATCAGTGCATCCTTGACTGGCATACAGTTAGACCTACCTGAAAAACTTAAAGCATGGTTAATTTCATTTTTATTATATTGTATCTATTTGTGCTAAAAGGTTATCATTTATTTCAATACAAGGTTACGTCAACAATGAAAACAGTAAGTCTGATTGATTGACTGAATGATTGTGGCAAGGCCAGTAGAAAATTTCCTTAGCGTTGGGCCCTGTCAACATAAAATCAGCATCATAACACTTGTACACAGATCTGTAGAACAAGTAGGTTACAGAATGAAATTTGAAAATTAAAATTAAAAACTGTACTTGAAAAGAAAACAGGATGACTTTGAATAACATAATTGTATAGTTGTGTTAGGATGAGCTGATCAAGTATTGCAAATGTATTTCCTGGTTTGAGAGTGACCTACTTAAAGAGGAAGTAATGGATACCAAAAAAAAAAAAAGAGATGTGACATGCATGCATACATATGTACGTATATACTTATATACTCATACTTAAGTGTATATGTGAAGTATATACAGTACATATGTGAAACTATATGAATGTGAGTTATAATGCAGGTATGTAAGAATAAAGAATACATATGTGCATGAAAGTCAGAATATATTTATGTGCTGAAAGTAAAGTGTATATATATGTAAGCAGAAATATATGTACGCAAAAGGAGAATGTAAGTGTGTGAGAGCACCAGGATGAATCATGGCTTACGGGCCCCTCATAGATATTTCCTACTGACACACTACAGCAAAAGATAGAAATAAATAAATATATATATATATATACAAAAATAGATTCTTAAATAAGTCATGCAATTATGTATTTAATGTTACTTGTCTTTACATACATTTCACAACAATTTTATACTAGTATACTGTGTGATTTGAAAATTTTTTGAAAATCTCAACAAGGTTTTTCAAAAAGTTGTTTGAAATCCTAAAAAGTGGTATACTTTCAAGGCTTTACAGCGCACTTTCATTTTCATCAGTGTGGTTTTGCAATGTAAATGTAAAAAAAAAAAAAGTCCTGCATACCACAATACAGTATGCCAGGTCTTGTCATGATTACACAGGCCTATTTTAACCAGTAGAGCACCTACTGAGTTTTAAGGAAACTTGAAGGCAGACAATGGCAGCTTTGATCAATTGTCTGTCTGTTCATACTTACAACGATGTGTGTTTATACAGAACATACTGTATCAGAGTATATTTATTGATAGTACAAACGCAATAGCATATTAACAGGGCAATTACCAACTCTAAATTTGAAATCAATCTCAGTAATATCATGAATACATGTTTGTGTTCTGAGTTTTTTTACAGCTTACTTTCTGTCTTCCAGCCTGGTGATTTCATGTTTGACCTGGTTGAACTCATTGGCCATCTTGCAGTGGTTTTTGTACACTTCAATGGACTCCTTTAGAGACCGACAGGGCAGCACCGGCTAGTGAGGAAGGTCATGACATTATTACATATTATTACATCACATTTTTTTTATTGGTGAAACTGAGTTTTATTTTTCCTTACACTTCAGCACAAACCACAATTGCTCTTTTTAATGAGTCAGTTGACACATATTTTATACAGTATGTTATAGTCAGTCTAAATACTTTAGCTACAAGAGTGACTGGAGATTAATTCAGGAACTTCATTTGATGTTATATTTGGATTGTCTGCTACATCCCGGAATATACACAGAATCGTCATATAGCCTGACAAGCGGGTTTCAATCAATAGATGAAACATAATATGTGGAAACAGTTGCTGAGTCGCTTGACTTTTTTATTCCTTTTGTGTCAGGAACTTCTTCTTTCACAATGACTCATGGCACAGTCCTACAGAATATCATCCACACAACAAAACGCTTCAACTTCTCCCAGTTTTTCCCCTAATGTGTGGGTGTGCATGTTAAGTCCACCCTATGATTTTTGATGTAGGACAATTTTAGCATTTCAGAGAGTAACACTTTTATGGGGATCTTCCTATAAATGCTAGCAGCACTGTTCTTCTAAACACCATTGATCAACCAGGCATTGATAATTAATAATCATAGCATAGCCTATAGCATAACACAAATTTAAATAAAAACAAAATCATTTCACAAATGGCTTTATAGATTGATAAAGAATATATTGAAAGATAAAGATTACAGATTTTTCAAATCTACACACTATAGTTAGCACATTTCATGCATTGATGCAAAGAGACACATGTAAGCTCTTAGAGTTTGCTCACTTTAGCCTTTTGTCTAAAAAACAGTCGGAGAGTATTTGATATTAGTGACAGCCTTTTTTTGTTTCAGTAATGTACTAGTTATGAGGAAATTGTATGAGGAAAAAATACTGAACTGGTCATATTGTCAACAATCAAAACCAACCCTACATGTCAGCATGAAACAGCATTCACTCTCCATCTACTTGCGTAATGTAACATATTTTTGAGTGAAACAGCATATTTATAGGGGAAAAAATAGTAGGCCAGGACATTTTGTCCATCAGGAACTGATTGGATTGTGAAAAGATGGAGGATGTCACCCAAAAACGAAAAGCAATTTATTACATTTTGATGAATGATTGTGAAGATAAGTATTTGTTTTTCATACTGTTTACAATAAGACCAATAAAGGTATATTAGATACAAAATATGTAATTTATGAGCTTCTAGTGGCAAAAATAAATGTTTTTATTTAATATTTTTTATGTAATAAAGATTTTGAAATAAAGATTTTTTTATTTAATAATAATTAAATCACAATAATAATAATAATAATAAGAAGAAGAAGACAAAGAAAAATAATATAATTGATGGCCTTCTAGTGACAAAGATTAAATGTTTTTATTTAATAGTTAACAGTATTTATTTAATAAATGTATTTACTGTATAATAATAATAATACATTAATTAGGTATGGGCTTCTACTGGCAAAAATTAAATGTAATTATTATTATTATTTTGCATTTAATACGTTTATTTTTAATAATAGTAATAATAAATTATAGGCTTCTAGAGACAAAAATGTAATGCTTTATTTAATAATATTTTTGAATTAATACATTTATTTTTATTTCAAATTTATCATTTTGATATTATAATTGAATTTTGATTTCCCGTTGACTGTAACGATAATTTAAAAGTAAATAAAACTAATGCCATCTTGTGGTCTTACAGAAGCATTGCTGAAACATTTTCTCATTGAGAAAGTTGGATTCTCTAAATATCCCATTAAATAAGCCAAATAACATGTTGTGTAACAAACTGAAAATAGTCAAAGGAGGAACAAATGTCCTGTCCGGTCAAGGACGAGAAAACAACAAACCTTTAAAAGCAGCAGTAAAATATTTTCGTGATCTGCAGATGTTTATAATATTGTCTGGGTGGATGTGAGACTATTTCTGTCTGATTTAGCTTCTTTCCTCATGAATCTTAAATGCAGGATCATTTCACTTCACCCTTCTGTAGCGTACAAACCAAGCTGCAACCTCCCGCTCTCTCTCTGAAGCCAACACGGAAGTGACTTAAACTGTAATTCATCGACTGGCCGCTAGAGGCTGGCTGCAAAAGGGAGTCAATCCCATAGACCCCCATGTTAAATTGCCCAACTTTACAGCGGAAAAAAAAACGTTTACAGCCTGGTTCAAAAAATGATTTTGGTCTATATAGCTAATTGTGCCCTTCATGACAAATGTGAATATAATATAAATATAATTTAAACTCATCTGTTTAAATTATATTAAGCCTTAAAATTCTGCATAATTAAGGGCGCGGCCACTTGAGTGACAGGCGGATTGTCGCGCTAGGTGGGCGTGGTTTCAACAACCAGCTCCCGCCTCTTTACCCATTTACGATTATCTGGGAGTGACACGCGGTGATGCGCTGCCAATATGGCAACGGCCGGCTCCGCCTACTTTAGGCTTCAAAAACGCTCTTCGGAAACCTACGGGTGACGTCACGGACACAACGTCCATGTTTTTATACAGTCTATGGTACAAACCCACCACTCACTCCTGCTAATTCTGCTGTTTAGCGCTAATATTAGCAAAGTGGATTTAGCTTTTCTACAGTTTTTTTTGTTTTTTGCACATCCGTCACACTGTATGACCCCAAACATCATCTTTACTATACAATACATCTTTAGTTGTGAGATATATAGCCAAATGTATAAGATCTACTACTATCAGAGTCTTATTATAACTGTATTCTCCAGCAGACTCTATTCTAAGCATGCAGTACTATGCCATCATGTTTTAAACAGATTATTAATAAACTTTACCTGCAGGCGTTGCTCAAGGTCAGGGAATGATGGAAGGGGATCCTCTGCATCTTTCAACTCTGACAGGAAAAGAAAGCCAAAGGAACATGTCTGGTATGAGAATGCTAATATTTGAGATCTTTACTCCAAGGCCTTAGTGGTGACATCTACATCCATCTAATCAGCTAAATCATACCACAGTGCACATGACACCACAGCATATCCAGTAAATTAGCCGTTTACACTGATCTAGATCCAGTTTCCCTTGTGTAAACATACATGTGGCCAACTGGCCATTCACATAGAAACTGCTTCCAGATCAGTGCAAAAAGCCAAATTCGACGACCACCTGTTCGGACTCTAAATCCTGAATGGACAGATTGAAAGTAACTATCTCCCAGGTTCTTCGCAATGACTTGTCTTTAACGAGCCCTCTGACAGACAGCTTGTCTGCACTGATTCCCACCATGCCAGCTATGTCCAAGTGGGGCTCACTGCTAAAAACAGGCCTGTTTACAGTCATGCATCAGCCAGATGGCCGATTAAAAGATAAATATACATAAAAATTTGCAAGGGCATTATCTGAAACATGATATGCATGTGATTCCTGCAGAATGTAACATGACATGACAGGAGCATGACAGTTTCATATAATTTTGGCTGACTGACTGCATATATTTTCATTTTGGATTTTTTCCCACTCCGTCAGTCTTTCATTGTTTTATGTAATACAATATAATATAAGAAAAATACATTTTTGTAAATGTATTATTTAAAAGTACAAATGTTTAAAATATATACAGAACAAATAATTTCATATAATAATAATTTTATGTATAATAATAATAATAATAATATAATCCGATCATTTATTAGTTTGTTATTAATTTATTCATTTTTTTAGTGTTTATTTTAGTTTAGTTCACTTTTGGAGTGATGAAAACCTTTAAGCTACTGTTTCCCCAGTTGTTAGTTGTTGTTTATTTCAGTTAAATTTATTTCATTGTAAACTAAACACACACAAAAATGATAATACATAATCACCAAATAATAAATAATTCAACATCTATCTATCTATCTATCTATCTATCTATCTGTCGGTCTGTCACACACACACACACACACACACACACACACACACACACACACACACACACACACACACACACACACACACACACACACACACACACACAAACAAACAAAACAAAAAAAAAGAAAAGAAGGAAGGAATTATGGGAAAGAAGGCTGAATGTAGCATGTTTATGTGTAGGACTCTATTTATGCTCCACTTTTGGGAAAAAGAAAAGAAAAGGACGCAGGACAAAGTAGTGGCAAAACATGAAGTATTAAATGCTTTTAAATGTAGGCCAGTGTTCTAAAACCAAATGAGTGAATCATGCAGCACTGAGGTATTAAACAGAAACCTGATGCTGCAATGCCCAGGCAGCAGCTGCCATCAAAGCATTTGCCCGAATAGCTGTAAAACACTTTGACAGCGCTGTTGACTTTGTGGCTAGGTATATTTTGTTTTTAAGATGCCAGAGATCAACTAAAATAGAGGGGGCACCTGTTTCTTTGTAAAGGATGGCAAAAGTTGAATTGATCCCACATGAGAGGCTTTGGGTGGGTTTTGCTTGTTGCCATTTTGGTAGAAGTCACACATCGTATGGACCGTGTAGAGTGCGGGGACACAACTCTATTTTAGTCTCTCAATCACAGTGTCTTTGTCACAAGCATGCAAACTCCTAAAATAATAATCTGCTTATCCTTACAAGATGTGTTACCTGAGGTTTCATCGAGGCTGAAAGCGATTTGTACTTCAGGTTTATCTGCAGAGACTCGTCTAGTTGAGGTGATCATTTATTCCTAGAAAAAGAGCAGATCTGGATTAAATGGGTGGATGTAAACCTTATTTATGCTTCAGATGTATGAGATCAGCAGCCTTTCAGGGGTCATGAAAAGGTTTCATCATGTGCCCAAAGTTGCATCAGGGATTAAACAATTGTAGAAAAATCCCCCTCCAGCCAGCAAATGAGATCATACTTCTGTATTGGCTGCAGAGTTTCTTAGTGTTGAAATGACTTATAAAATAGTAATAGTATATGTATACTTACTGTACTTTATGTTTATTTTTTGTGACTGAACATTACAGAAGACGCAAGCCCAATGTTAGTGACACGAAAAAGGCTACAAATGGTTAAAAAGGCTATAAATAGTTAAAAAGGCTATAAATTGTTGGCTACTGTAACTTTACTTTGTTAAAGCTAAAAGTGTAATTTAATATGTGTAATTTGTTACATATGTTTACATGAGACAGTAAAACCCCTTACCTGACAATAGAAACGTATTTGCAGAAAACTGTCTATTAAAAATCTTAAAAGAGCCTCAAGAGTTGCTCAGCAAAAGACACAGAGCTGTAGAAACTCCATTGAGAATCCTGTAGATCTTCTTCCCTGTTTATACCGTAAAAGGTCACCGTAAACTAGTCGTAATCCTCGTAGTGTACACTGAGAAGCCAAAAGCAGGTTCACAAACACAGCCAAAGTAATAGCTCTTCAGCAGGAGGCTGTCAGAGTGACACTGTGATTCTGTGTGTGCCAGCCAGACTCCACAATTAAAGGGGTCAGATGGCATGACTTTATACTAGAACAATGTCCATCTCTCCAATCAGCTTTGAGTCACCCATACATTCATAAGAACAATGCAAAGGTTTGATTTTTGTAGTAGTTTTGTACTTTCTTTATAATATGGTTCAGGGTTGTGATTTGTAACGTTTTTTTTGTTACAAATCACTCTGTTAGGTTTATTTTATTGCAAACTAATAATCATCAGTGTAAGCATTCCGAGCTGTGACATCAAATTGATTGCAAAGGAAACACACAGAAAAGAAATTAAAATATAAAAAATATATTTAAAAATATAAATATAAAAATGAAATAAAAATATAAAGATATTTAAAATAAAGTAGACTAAATAAAACAGATTTATAAACAATAGAATAATAAATCAATACAGTAGAATAAATTCATAGATTAATTTGGCTCAAACAAGTTATAACAATTAGTTTGATTGTTAATTATTTAAAGTGATATGAATATTTATCAACATACATAAGGTATATCAAAATATTTTTACATTTAAATTTCTTTCAATTATTTTATTTATAATTAGAAATTGCTTTTCAATTAAAAGTATATTTAAACACACACACACACACACACTGAATAATTAAATAAATATAAATTATTTTATTTATATAAAATAAAATAAAAATATAAATAATAGTTCTTTGATGAATTGCTTTGTTCCTCCTCTTTTGTAAGTCACTTTGGATAAAAGCATCGGCTAAATGCATAAATGTGAAAAATGTATATAATAGAATAAATTCATAAATTAATTTGGCTCAGGAAAAACTAATTATAACAATTTGATGATTAATTATTCAAAGTGATATGAGTAATTAACAATATACGGTATGAGGAATATTACAATTATTTTATAATTTAAAAATTAAAATGAGAAATTAAAACGTTTATAAATGAAAACCATACTCAAAAACAAACAAACAAACAAACAAACAAACAAACAAATAAATAAATAGACATTTTCTGTTATTGGGTGGGGATCAATCGACTCAATCGGCGCTCCACTCTCTCTCCTGTCTGGTTCAGTAATCCGTGTTTCTGCTCTCTGCAGCAGCGCCTGTTCTTTCTTAGCTGCATGCTTCTCGTGCGCTGCAGCCTTATCCTGCATCAGTCTAATATCTCTCTTATCTGGTCAAAATGGCACTTCACGTCCCCAAAGCTCCGGGATTTGCTCAGATGTTAAAGGATGGTGCGAAGGTAGGGCTGTTGAAGCAGTGTTTTGCTCGTGCTGTGATGTTTTAGAGTGCATGCAGTGACTCTACATAGAGGTTTCTAGAACACGGGCCTCATCCCGTCCGATTAACGTACCGGTAAAAGCAGCACACACTTCAGCTGAAGAATGATATTTTGTACAAGACTGTCATTACTATTAGGTCTTAATGAAATATCGAGGGATTGACAGTAACTGGGTTTGATTAGAAAGTAAGGTATGAATGAAGTTAGCATGTTAGCTGAAGACATGTGCCAGTGACAGACAGACAGACGCCGCTCACACCTCCATCACTCATAGGTAATGTTAGGAAGGTAGTTGATTTTGGTAAGCTGTAGAATCACAACTATTTAAATGTACTGTTTTATTTAACGTATATAAAAAATAACATGAATAATTTTACAATAAAGGATAGAGTTTCCCATAAAAGGGCAGTTCCCCGTTCGTAATGTCTGGATATTCGGTTTGTTGATATGTTGATCAGATCATTTAATTATAGGATTTAACCAAATAACACGATTTGCTTTCAAAGATTCATTTTTTACATTTCCAATTCATTTGCTTTTGTAACGGTTTAGCTTCTAAATATTAAGCATTTGATATATTTTTTTAAATAGATATTCACATCCATAGCTCTGCCAAATGCAGTTTTGATAAACATCATTATATCAGCAAATATCATAACTACTACTCATGGTTTATTTTCATTACTATTATTTATTTGTATAATAGTAATGATGTGTGATCCTGCATGATGTATATGCAAAATTGCCTCAGTTTCTTAGAGGAATATTGCGCTATATATTATGGAAATGTCAACTTGAATGCCTGATCATTCACTAACCAGCCACAAATTTTTTATATTTTTTAATTATGAAATGACTTTTGTCTTATGGTTGCTATTTGTTTTCCACAATCAGCACTATTCGGGTCTTGAAGAGGCTGTTTTCAGGAACATCCAGGCATGCAAAGAACTGGCACAGACCACAAGAACTGCATATGGACCCAATGGTGAGACTTATTTGCTCGTTATGATGTATTAGACCTTTTTAGTGACATCACTGGACTTCACGTGATCATTTAATTCTGTACAGGTATGAACAAAATGGTCATCAACCACTTGGAGAAACTCTTTGTCACAAATGATGCTGCCACCATTCTCAGAGAGCTGGAGGTAGATATTAGTAATTGTGATAAAAACATGAATGAATGCATATAATTTGGAAGAATATATGTCTCTTTTTATTTATTTATATTTGTATGTTTCTCTCTCTCTTTCCGTCCCTCAAGGTTCAGCACCCGGCAGCCAAAATGATCGTGATGGCATCCCACATGCAAGAGCAGGAAGTAGGCGATGGCACAAACTTTGTGCTTGTGTTTGCTGGTGCTCTGCTGGAGCTTGCAGAGGAGCTGCTGAGAATGGGCCTGTCTGTTTCAGAGGTCAGTAAACTACTGCACTAATGCAGTATGTCGCTGTCAGGAAAGAGATTTGCATTGCGTGGTCATATCTTCTAAAAAAAAAAAAAAGTTTGGTTCCCCATACTAAAAACTATGTATTTGTTTAGCTCTTTTTATGTATCAGACCTGAATGCAATATGAGGGTTAAATAGTATGATTAATTCATGTTAAGTTGAGAACTACTATATAATTTATTTGCCTTTATAAATGACATATTTGCCTGAGCTGATGATTGTTAATTGTTTATCCCAGGTGATTGAGGGCTATGAGATGGCATGTAAGAAAGCTCTGGAGATTCTCCCCGATTGCGTCTGTTCATCTGCGAAGAACCTGCATGATCTGGATGAGGCCACAGCCATGATCCGCTCAGCTGTCATGAGCAAACAGTACGGCAATGAGGACTTCCTGGCCAACCTTATCGCACAGGCCTGTGGTAAGGCATGATTGCTTCTGTGTACTCTGGGAAAATTCAGCTTGATTTTGTGATAATGTTTTATTTTAATAATTTTATTTTGAATATTACTCATTTTACAGTCTCGATCTTCCCCGAGTCTGGAAATTTCAATGTCGATAATGTCAGAGTGTGCAAAATTTTGGTAAGTATAAAGTGATGAATTTTGGCATTGCTTTAAACTAAATAAATGAGTGTCTGTGGGTCAGTTTCAGTTCATTTTTTTGTCTTTGTAGGGCTGTGGACTGAACTCTTCTATGATGCTTCATGGGATGGTATTTAAGAAAGAGACTGAAGGAGACATCACATCAGTGAAAGACGCAAAGATAGCAGTGTTCTCCTGTCCGTTTGACTGCATGGTTACTGAAACAAAAGTAGGAAAATGCTCAGTGAATTGGATTAAATGTCTTTTCCTTGTGTATCTATGGGTTGACTTGAAATAGTATTTCCTTTGTGTGATGTTCAAAAAATGTGCGATGAATCATGTTCTCCTTTGTTTTTTTGGGCTGTCTTCCTTCAGTATTTCTTTCTGATGTTCCGTAGGGAACAGTACTTATAAAGAACGCAGAGGAGCTCATGAATTTCAGTAAAGGAGAAGAGGACCTGATGGAGGCCCAGGTGAAGTCTATCGCTGATTCAGGGGCCAATGTGGTTGTGACTGGAGGCAAAGTTGCTGATATGGCCCTTCATTACGCCAACAAGTACAAGCTCATGTTGGTGAGGTGAGACAGAGGCAGATCCCTTCTTTTTTTTTTTTCTTCTTTGTGCTGTTTGATTTTTCTTTTTTTTTTCTTCTTTTTTTAATGTGTTGGCTTGTTAAATGACAATAAAAGCGACATGTCTGATATTTATGAATGCTGATTGTACTTCACCCAGGCTGAATTCAAAATGGGACCTCAGAAGACTATGCAAAACTGTGGGAGCCACAGCATTGCCCAGACTGGTGAGTTATTTTGAGTTTTACTAATGGCACTTTGTGTGATGCGAGTTGGTGACAAGCCAGTTGACATCATTATGTGTCAGTCTCAGTCTTGTTTTTTTTCCTCTGGGTAAACAGACTCCCCCGACCCCAGAAGAGATGGGACACTGTGACAGTGTCTACCTGTCAGAGGTTGGAGATACGCAGGTTGTGGTCTTTAAACATGGTAAGGAAAATTTAACACGTGATTCTTGTATGTTTACATATACATAATATATGTGTGTATCTACACCACTGTTCAAAAGTTTGGGGTCAGTAAGATTTTTTTTAAATAAGTTTATTCAGTAAAGATGCATTAAAGAAATCAAAAGTGACAAAGATAAATATTTTTTAGCATCAAACCAGCATGGGTGCTGAAAATTCAGCTTTGCAATCATGGGAATAAGTTACATTTTAAAATATATTAAAATAGAAAACAGTTGTTTGTAACCATGAAAAGGATTTTAATGATATATGATAAATAAAAAAATAAAATGGTACTTAAATGTAAACGAATCTAAATGTAAACCAGTACTAAAGTGCACCAAAAATGTAAATATATATATATTTTTTGTTATTATTATTTTGGGGTGAAATGTGACTAAGGCACTCAGTTACAACATACTGTATGTAGATAGATGTCTTTGTGACTTTTTTTCTTGATTCTGTAGCTTAAGCAAACTGAGCTTTGTAAATATTTTTGTTCAGTCTGGCAGTGATGTATCCAGACAGCTCATGGCATCTCACTCCTTTTATTTCTAGATAAAGAGGATGGCACCATCTCTACTTTAGTAATTCGTGGGTCCACAGACAACCTGATGGATGACATTGAGCGTGCCATCGATGATGGAGTTAACACCTTTAAAGTCCTTGTCAGGGTGAGCTACTTTAAAACTCCTCCCCAAAAACACTTCTAATGAAAGTCTTTTAAATGTGACCCTAACAGAAACATTTCCCCACAGGACGCACGTCTTTGTCCAGGTGCTGGTGCCACTGAAATTGAGCTGGCGAAACACATCACCTCCTATGGAGAAGTAAACAAATCAATCTAATTTCATTTTGCTGTTGGAGCAACCTGAACAGTGTAAATAATTTGAACATGTCCTCTAAAGTCTTGCCCAGGCCTGGAGCAGTACGCCATCAAGAAGTACGCAGAGGCATTTGAAATACTGCCTCGTGCTCTGGCAGAAAACTCTGGTGTCAAGGGCAACGAGCTGATCTCCAAACTCTATGCCGCCCATCACGAGGGCAACAAGAACTCTGGCTTTGATATTGAGGTGAGGGGTCTGCAGAATAAGCTTGCTTTGTAAGGGCTCCAAGTGTAAGCAGCAAAGGGAAAAGAAGCTGTTTTTAATTTGGAGGCAGCAGACCTGATATAAATAGAAAGAAGGACCCTAAATCGTGCATTTTAGGGTGTAATTGATGACTAAATATTTGTTTTAAACCATTCAGGGAGAGGGGCCTGCAGTCATTGACATGATGGAGGCCGGTATCCTCGAGCCATTCCTGGTCAAGCACTGGGGCATCAAATTGGCCACAAATGCAGCCATTACCGTCCTCCGTGTGGATCAGGTTAGCTCTTCACTTTACAATTATGTATTCAGTTTCTTATTCCGTCCATATTTAGTAGTTTAGGTGCTTTGCTAGCCTGCTTCTTTCTGTATTATAATGTGATGTGTATATGCCAGATCATTATGGCAAAGCCAGCAGGGGGACCAAAAGCCCCCAAACAGCAAGGACACTGGGACAAAGACGGTTGGGATGAGGAGCCAGACAAATTTGATACACATTAAGAAATCCAAAATAATTGCAAAGGTGCACAAAAACACCACTGTTTGGAGTGCTTAACCACTGGAGTGAACTGGGCTGCATGAACACTGTGTGGAAATTCACCACGAATTTGTTGACGAAATGAGTCTAGCCTGTCGTTACATCACAGATAAAATAGTTATGCTGTTTAAATTGAGCTGAGAAGCATTAGTTAACAGTTTAAAGGGTTAGTTCACCCAAAAATGAAAATTCTGTCATTAATTACTCACCCTCGTGTTGTTCGAAACCCGCAAGACCTTCGTTCATCTTCGGAACACAATTTAAGATTACTTTTGATGAAATCTGAGGGCTCTGTGACCCTCCCATAGACAGCAAGGTAACTACCACGTTCAAGGTCCAGAAAAGTCGTTATTTTTGTTTTCTTTGCGCAAAAAAGTATTCTCGTAAATTCGTAACTTTACAGTTGAACCACTGATGTCACACTTTGTCGATCATCTTGGTACTTTTCTGGACCTTGAATGTGGTAGTTACCTTGCTGTCTATGGGAGGGTCAGAGA